TATACATGATATAAGGGGAGGTATATGTACTTCGGTGCATGATATAAGGGGAGGTATTTGTACTTCGATACATGATATAAGGGGAGGTATATGTACTTTATCTATACATGATATAAGGGGAGGTATATGTACTTCGGTGCATGATATAAGGGGAGGTATTTGTCCTTCGATACATGATATAAGGGGAGGTATATGTACTTTGATGCACGATATAAGGGGAGGTATATGTACTTTGATGCACGATATAAGGGGAGGTATTTGTACTTCGGTGCATGATATAAGGGGAGGTATGTGTACTTCGATGCATGATATAAGGTATAAAAATTGTTTCTACATTCATCTAATAAACAAATTATACCAACAGCACATTACAGATGTTAACAAATATTGAAAATCGTTTGGAGGAGTTATTTGAAATGATTGAAATGATGCCTCCGGAAAGGGTGGAAGCTGCTGAAAAGGTCAGAATCTCAATTGTTGTGTTATGTTGGTGGTTGCATGCTTGGACAACCTAGACATGGTTCAGATGGTCTCGCATGTACTAGTTCACTTGTTAATTTTCTTAAAACCTAAAGCAATATCTCTGTAAAGGCTTCTAGTATGTTCAAAAGGAAACAGCAGTAGACTATTCTGGGTAATCAGATATTTTTTTTGTTCAGTCATGAAGATTTTTTTTATAGGAATAATATTTTTGAATGTTGATATAAAAGTGAAAATAATAACCCTGTTCGATAGGTATTCACAAAAGTTGCATCAGATGGCCATAGTGTGTCATTGTTTACAAACAAGTGTCTACCCATGAGCCTTTGCATTTTTAGCGTGTGTTGTTATTATTGCTTGGGACTTAATTCCTGTGTGTGCACAGGTGACGACCCTCCCACTTTAACAAATATGTTGTTATACATATCAATTCTAGTGGACCAGTAAATCTGATGTAGTCCACCATAAAATAATTTTTACACAGGCAAAGGAAAAAGAAAGGAGGTTAAGATTGAGAGAAGAAAAAATAGAGCAACAGAAACTACACCAAGAAGAACGAGTTAGAAGAGCTTTGGAGAGAGCCCAGGCAGATCCAAAGAAAAAGGTATGTGCAAGTCACTGATATGTAGTATCCTACTGCTTGCCAATGTCAACAATAAAATGACAGTGTTTGCTGAGTGTCAACAGTAAAATGACAGTGTTAGCTGAGTGTCAACAATAAAATGACAGTGTTTGCTGAGTGTCAACAATAAAATGACAGTGTTAGCTGAGTGTCAACAATAAAATGACAGTGTTTGCTGAGTGTCAACAATAAAATGACAGTGTTAGCTGAGTGTCAACAATAAAATGACAGTGTTTGCTGAGTGTCAACAGTAAAATGACAGTGTTTGCTGAGTGTCAACAGTAAAATGACAGTGTTTGCTGAGTGTCAACAGTAAAATGACAGTGTTAGCTGAGTGTCAACAATAAAATGACAGTGTTTGCTGAGTGTCAACAATAAAATGACAGTGTTTGCTGAGTGTCAACATTAAAATGACAGTGTTTGCTGAGTGTCAAAAATAAAATGACATTGCTTGCTGAGTGTCAAAAATAACATTGCTTGCTACTGCGATGTGCTTCTAATGGACAAAATGTGGTATATAGTATGTGCTTCTAATGGAGATGTGCTTCTAATAGAACAAATACAGTATACACAAAATTTGAACATGTGCTGTATCATAACTGTGAAATGGCATAATATATTGAGGACATCATATCTCTGGATAAAGAGATAATTTGGAATCTCCAGGCAGATTATAATTGTATCATGCACACTTGGTATAGGTTTTCGCTCTATACCCCCCCCCCCCCCAATAGAGACATAAATTTGTCATGTATTTTGATAACCAACTACCATGCATTAACTTTGTATACCAATGTTTTATATTTTTCATAGACTGGAAAGAAACTTGTTTTTAGATCGGAACCACCGCAGACAAAACGTAAAGTTGATAAAACGGCTCAGAAAGCCAGTAAAGAAGAGGAAGAAATGGCATATTTTTTCACATAATGGACTGACATAAAGTTTTTGAAGCACTATTCCATCCATGAAACAATTTATTTGAACACTTTGTGTTACAGAGTGTATAGTAGATCAACTATATAGTGTTAATAACGCATGATGTATTGTTTTAATAACACCAATGTTGCATAATTTTGTACAATAATTGACATTGACTAGGATGTCTGCAATAAAGTTTGTCAGACAAACTGATATGAGTTTTGTATGTGTCATCTCTGTGTAGATTGGTCAGTATCTCAGTGGTTTCTTTCTTTACCAATACAATCAAAACTATAATAAGAAGGTTTAGGTCAAATAACAGATTCTATGCCACCTACTTCATGCTTTTATTCAATTTTGTCTGTTAAAGGCCGATGGTCATCGTGCCACATGTGTTCAACATTCTTGTTCACACAAGTCCCATAACTCAGCATACTGAAAAATAATTATGAAGTTTATTATTGATATGAATCCATATATTATTGAAACATTTCAAAAACTTGACA